TCACTAAACTGTTTTATAGAATATCGAATATTCCCTGCACCTCTCAGTTCGGTCTACGGGTACGTTGGTTGTGTAGAGAGCACTTTGGAAAAACTATTTTTTTTTTCCTCTAACGTTATTCACCGACCGACTTTTGATAGTGTCTGCTGAGTTCATTTTGATGAACTACTGGCTAGAGATGGGTGGCAAATGAATCTTCCTGAGCCATCTTGATTCCCAATCAGGTTTAACGCTATTCTTCCTTCGTTTTCCCTTCTATCTCTTATCTTTCCTATCCTTCGATTTTTCATCTATGAGTAGATGAAACACGACATTCAGCCTCTTCTAGGACTGTTTGTAGCACTTTTGAAATTTCAGCGTGACAGTGGCTATACTACTGTTGGGATAGCAGCTTCTCCCTAAGGCTGGACAATTGAGGTGGGTGTGTCCCTGGAGTTTCCCGTCTGCATCCCTGGGGCTTGTCGGCAGGATGTCCGGAGACAGTGTGCTCTTTGAGGAAACCAAAAAGTGAGGCTTCTCTCTCATTCTCGAGATGCGCAATTTTGGTTTTGTGGGGTCAACTTCCATCCCTGATTCCACCACATTTGGTTTCGGACGTGCTGTTGATGAGTTCTGGTGGTGGGGATGGTTTGCTCTTGGGCCATATGCATCCCAGTTATATTTGGTGGTGATTTTTTAGTTTACATAACGATGTAATTTTTTTATAGGTAACTTTTGACGGTTTGAAGTTTTCTGGTATAGATCTTTTCGAAATTTTCATGTCTATTTGATGAGAAGTTATTTCATTCGGAATACCTTGTCTTAGCCTTCATCTTACCGACCTAACTTCTGCTAATTACCTTATGGATTTCAAATTAATATAAATTTTTTTGAAAATAAAATAATGTATTTCCTACTGAATCATTGAAATTCCATATTGAGATAATTCCTTAGAGGAATAACAATTATGAGGTGAAATTTATAATTCATTGAATGTTCACTCAATTTCGAATACAATCTGAAATTCTTATATCTCATTGAATTAATAATTTTTTTCTTTTTCATACAGTCACTCCACATGTTATGAAAAAGAATCTTGAAGATCTTGTAAATTTTGTACATTCTGTAAATACCTTTTGTAGACATTGTTATCTCCTACTCAATGAAGCTATTACTTCGTGAATATCAGTGACATTATTGATTACTGAAACAATGATTCTTACTTGATTTTCTTCTTCGTTTTCATGAATACCTACATAAAGGTGGAGAAATATTTGAATTCATAAGGTGAAGTGCAATTTTCTTATCTACTAGGTTTACTTGGTTTACTAAGATGAAGGTTGGGCTAATGTTTTCTTGCAATAAAAAAAAATTTGTAATCTCCTAGAGTTTCCAAATTTTTTTCACCGAGTTAGGGTGGTGTGTAACGATTATTCCGTTCCATTGAGATGTTTTCAATCAATCAACCATTTAATTATCTGACGTCCATTCGTTCTTCTATATACTTCCGCTTATCAGTCCTTCACCGGTTCAATAACCATATCGAATTCATCAAGTCTTGCGCGCTCGTCCTTCCCGCTAGACAGCGACACAGAAGATCGAAGAAGGGAGCCTGAATAACCAATCAGGAGAAGGATTGAGATGACAGGATCTTTCGCGAAGAACGGATAGGAAAATCAAAGTCCTTCTGATTTGAACTACCGACTTGAAAGGTTGAAGTGATAGGTTGTGTGAATTGAAGATATCTGGTAGGTCTGGATCTATCTTTATTTTTCTAATGAAATAACTTGTCATCGCAGACATTTGGTTTGTTAGATTTGATTATTACCTATGGAATTAAATATTAATTGATATATTTTTGATCGAATTTCATTTTTGGGAGAGATAATTGCATTCGAGTTAATTGAGGTTACAATTCCTATCTAGTTGTTTCCTATGTAATAATTGGTCATCGATATCAATTTATTCGATATTTGAGTTCTTCCTATATTTTATTAGCACTGGTTGGCAATATTTTTGTAAAATTGCAGATTTATAATATAATAAATCATATTGGTACCATTATTTTTCAGTGAAAGGTTAAGTACCACCTGCCTTGCCGCTTAAATCTGCTTGTTGTACTTGTTGCTATCAACAGCTTCTTTGCTAATTTTTCCTCAATCAATAAGTTGAAAACAGCATCTACTCTCTTAAAAATTTTTCTAGGTACCTATTGGAAATTCGAAACGTCATCGTAGGTTCCTCAGATGTTCATCCAGGAAACCTGAACTGAAGTTTCCTCTGTGTCTCGTCCAGGAACCTTGAACCTACAGGACCTAGAGTCTCGAAGTTGAACTTTGACGTTCAGGCTGTACTTCTCCAGGATTCTTTCTCAGGTGAGCATTTAATTTCTGTTATTATCTTGAGAATTTATTTCCAAGTTATTTTTCTTTCTCTCTGAGAAATAAATGCAACCTGAGGAAGGTTTCCTTCTCTCTATAGCCTGTTCAGTCAACCTTTGTCTGGTTCCTGTATAGGCTTTGCCTTCTTGTGACGAAAGCACAATCTATAGTTCAAGTTTTCTGGAAGTGAGATTTTTCTCTCTATCTTACTGTCAGTATTTTCCTTGGTCAACTCAACAAACCACATGTCAATGCATGTCTATTTCCTTATCTCCAGATATACCATATCTTAATTCCAGACCTGTCAACTTCACACCTGAAGTACTTACCTATTTTCTGGCATTTAACTTTTGAACCAGGACTTGCCACCCTGTATATATATCTTTATACATACCTTTTTCTTTTACTTTCACGGAAAAGTAGATTACCTGTTAACTTCAAACTTGAAAGAGTACCTATTATCAGGCATTTTACTTTTGAACAGGACTTGCCACCCTGTATATAGATATTACCATTTCTTTACTTTCACTAGAAGGTAGTTTTCTTGGCATTTTAGTTGAAGGATTTGCCACCTTCATTTAATATTCCATTTCCATATTTTTTTTGTTGGAATTTAAGTATCGACAATTTATCAAAGTTAAATTTGGTTTTTTTTATTAGATAAATGACAATTTTTTCTTGAAATTTTTGTGTAATAATATATCAATACCAGGATATCTCATTATTCTGATTTATTCAAATAATTTCTCTCTGAGTTGAATATCAAATTCATGATTTGCTTCTCAGTTATTTCCATTTCTAATTGAGTAAATTTTCTCTAATTTTCAAGTGTCAAGTTTTTCTTTGAATTTGATTCATTATACTTTTCTAAGTTCCTAAAATTTTAAATTGGTTGATTTCCATAATATCTACATTCAGAACATAAAACTCAGTAAGCGGTTCAAAGGATATCCTTTTGTCCCTTTAATCACATTGTCGACAACTTTCTGATTCCTCGTGTATTTCCGCATGCACTCTACGTCTATACCTGCTTCGAGGATCCTGGTTAACCAAAGAGGGTTGTGAAGGACGGTAACACCTGGAGATTCCCTACTGAGCAGTCAGAACTGAAGGAGAGGCTATACCTTACAACTTCCATCATAAGTAGCACCCACAAAGTACTTGGTAACTCTGGAAGCAGAACCGAGAGAAGCTGAACTGACTCTGCAGGTTGAACTCCCAATTACCTTAAGGAACCCCTCTTGGACAATTCATCCAGCCACCCAGGTATAATCCATCCAAGTGCCAAGACTTTCAATTGGAATCAGATCGGATCAATAGCTGTTGTAAAGTTGAATGTTCTGAATTTATTTTGCTCCATTTCTCTTGTTTTTTTCTCGTATTTTCACATAATCCTCAATCTTATTTTTTGGCCTTCAGCCACTTCACTTTCACATAATCTTCAATATTATTTTTGGGCCTTCAGCCACCTCACTTTCACTTTTACATAATTCTCAACATTATTTTAGGGCCTTCAGCCACTTCTCCCAAATTATTGTTATCCTAAATTCTTCTGGCCTTCAGCCTATTGTAATTTTATAAAGGAAATAAATTGTTGAATTGAATCTCTGTATATTTGTTTTGTCTTCTCATCCAAGCAAGGTTTTTATTTTAGGAAGTATCTGATTGGCTTTTGTCTTTTGCAAGCCTGGCGCCCAAATATATCGAACAGTCAAATTAATCACCTTAAAATCAACATTAGAATTCATATTACTTGATTACCATCTCAACAGTAAAATTGTAACTTTTGAACTCACACCCTACCGTATCAATCTGAGCAGCCCAAAGGCATAAGTATAAACTTTCATATTTTTTGTTTCAAAATTTTTCAAATTCTGAACTCAGAGTGTGGAGTGTTACATCCTCGTATTTTATGTCACATCAATGTCGTTCTGCATCAAACCATATGATGAGAGAAAATCAAAATGTATGAAGGCAGGGGTGAACAAACGAATGATATATCAGACATGTTCATTCATACCCCTAGACTGGCAAAATAAACGCGATCATTTTCGGATTGAACCCGATGCTTCCTCCCAATAAAATTCTGATTTATATTCCATGCATGATAAATAGTTTGCACTGGCGGGAAGTCTAAATATTTGAACGGCAGTCACATGATATAGGCACTTCGACGGGATTTTATACTTTTTGTATTATCTCTGTCTGTGGAAGCTAATAGCTGTTTTTTTCATTTCCCATTTTCCATTTTTTCTTTTCTGGTATACACTGAGGCGCATACTATTGCAGCCTAAAGAATGGATATACTTCGACAAAAGAATACGAACCCTCGTATCAGGAGACACAATATGTCTGTTCTTATACTGTTGTTTCATTTTCCTAACCAACGGCGTACAAAAGTCACATTTCATCATCCTCAAGGAACGACATGATTTTATTTTTGAATGCCTGAAGCTCTTTAGATCTATGTATTAACAGAACGGGTTGTCTAACGAATTTAAAAAAACATTATATCGATGTAACATAATTTCTTTAGCATCAACATGAAAATTATCATGAAGATGTTCTTTCAATACTTTCAACACTTCATATTAAAATACAGACAATACTGTAAATATCATTGTTTTTTCTGTGCCATATATTTTGTATCCCTAATGAGATTTCTATACCAATAACAGATTTTTTATCCAAAAGAATGAAATATTCCAATTGAATTGCCAAAGAATAAATATTTTACAAGTTCACGAATATTTCTATGATATTGAAAGAACTTTAAACCATTGATTATCCTCAAAAAATATTCAAGTGCACAGAACTGTCTTTTGCAATGATAGATATTTCTTCAAATATTATATGCTCTATAACATCATGAGAAATTCCATTTATTATCATCAAAATATCTTTTGACATATGTAGAAAACATGTAAAGAACAAATTTCATCACAACTAAACAAACCTCTTTTTCGATATACCGAGATTTCTCTTGATGTTAAAGACTCCATATTGGGATTTTTAAAGAAATTGATATTAGTATTCACAGACATTTTCATTGGCACTTTAGCAAAACAACTTTTCTATGATTATGTAAATTGATTTTTTTAATATTCACCTAGTATTTTTTACTGTGATTCCTAATGGATTACATGTTTTTTTTTCAGGAATAGTAACAGCGTTTTACTCTGAGTCGGACGTACCAGGTGATTCAACATGAATGTCTTTTCCTCTAGCTCAGTTACTTTTGAACCGATTACAAAATTTGAAAAGATTTCTGATTATTTTTTTCCGCTTTATCAGAATATACAGGGTGCTCGGAACAAACAATCTACAGGGTACTAGTTGATTTTTCCGAATGGGGCATCCTGTATTCCATTCCACACTCAGAGATTTCAAAAATGAATTCAACAATACAGGGTTATATATTTTTTCTGATATGTGGGGTGATTCAATGAGTTGGTCTGTGAAAATTGTGTTGTTTTTATCTTTATCTATATATTTTACGATTTATCTCCGTTCATCCCGTGAATATTCAACAACGTTTTAACGGCTTCAAATCCGATAGTTGTGCTTTTCCTTGGTAGTGGTTGAAGTTACGGGGGTGAGGAAAGAAGACGAGTCGTTTTCTCTCGAATCAGAAATTCATTGGTTCCAGCGATTTTCCAGATTTTCATTTTAACGCCCTAAATCGGGGTGTACTGTTTTCGTTTAACCACCCTGTAAATAGACCCTGTCTGAGTGTGATGAATGTTCATATCACTCAACCAGATGGTACTCGATGGATGATGTTTCCAACATTTTCTTTGTATCGGTAGAAATACTCACACTTGTATACAAGTTGAATTTACATAGTATCAATTTACGTGATGTTGTTTGACCCTCGGTGTGATCTTTGCTCCTAGTGTTTGAATAATATGTAAAAATTGTATAGTAATATCGTGAAAAGATAAATGAAATCCAACATCGTACAAGGTGATGAGCATAATATTGGCATTTATTTCACGTGCTTAAGATACTATCAATCCTTACCTATAGTATTCAGTATGGTCATTGACTATTTCCTGTATGATAACGTTTTGCGCAAATAGGAATAGGTATCTACGAGGAATACCAGAAAAAACATTGTATTTTCACTATCGAAATCACTGAAATATTCCTTGTGAGTCATAAGAACGATTCGGAAAATAACCCAATTGGTTCACCCTGTACATTCTTCAGGCAATTTGATATTTCTGATATTCCTGGATTCGAATTTAACATGGGGACATATAAGGAAATCACAGCTTCTATAGATACATGTTTGCATGTTACATCATGAGTATCCAGTGTTAAATTTATTTTTCATTACATCTAAAATGTCACTATATAATTTATTCACTCTTTTTCCATAGGCGTAGTCGTTATGAGCTAGATCGTATACATGGAACTCTTTGGAACAGTTCAATCTGCTGTACAAATATTTGACATCCTGAAAAAAAATTTGTCAGTCTAATTTTCGAACAATGATATATTTAATTATTTTGTGGCATGAGGACCACCCTGTATCAATGAAAATATTGTTCATGCATTATTTCAAGATTTTCGACTACTATTCGAAACAGCCCATAGAAATTAGAAGGATGGTTCGAAATGTTTTCCACATAAGAAAGAAAAAAAATTCTTCTATACGAGAGACCTTTGAAAATTTTGAAAAATTCAACAGCTTTTGAACTGAAAAGGAATTGTTAATCAGCTGAGGCAGTCTAAAATTATGATGACTCAAATTCATCGAAAAATTTCGATTCAACGTTTCGAGTTTGAGCAGTTTAGTTTCAGGGGTTAGTACCCGATAGCATATTTACAGATGCTTGGGTGTGTGAACACCAAGCTGTTAAGATCAGTTAGGTTTTGGCCAAACAGTACATTTACATATTTTGCATATGCTAACAGATTTGGACACCAGAAGCTATCAGAGTGGATGCAAGGATGAATTCATGTCCAGTACACAACTTCACAGATGATGATACCCTCCATATCGCCTTCTCTTCCAGGGCTCCAATACCAGCCAGGCAAATCAGGAACGAACGAGGAAGAAATGTTGACAACATAAATATGGACTTGGCAACAACTCTCGAATGAGGATCCGATAACTTGGTAGATTTCAATGCAAACAAAACACAAGCATGCCTTTTCTCTAGAAAAGCCGATCTCACTGTGTCCAACATAAGCTCATCAGGAGTAACCATACCTTTGAAGACATCCATTTCGATGCTTGGTATTACTATCAGCAATAACCTTCCTTGGGAAAATCACGTGAGATCAATTGCTAGAAGTGCATCCCAAAAACTTGGTTTTCTGTTTCGGGCCAGGAGCTATTTCACTTCCAGTCAGCTGCTAATGATCTATACGGCACAGATCCAACCTGTTCTGGAATGCTGTTCCCATATTTGGAGTGCAGCAACCAAACAAACCCTGAAACTGTTGGGTTCTGTCCAAAAAAGGGCAATTCGTCTCTTGGGTGATGCCTCGCTCACAAACTCACTCACTTCTCTGGAACACCATAGACAAGTTGGCGATCTGGCTCTATTTTATAGATATTTCCATGAATGATGCTCTTCTGAAGTATCAACAATTGTTCCTTCCTTGGCAGTCCCCGCGAGATTGACCCGTTGAGTTGAGGCTTTGCACCCCTTCGTGGTCACTTTGGAGACCTGCAAAACATCTCTTTCCAAAGACTCGTGCATCCAACGAACAGCGAGGCTCTGGAACATATTGCCGAGGAAGGTGTTCCCCGAGACATATAACCTCCAGAAATTCCTACCTTGTTTTCCTTCGTTCCCACGATGTTCTCTGAACATTACAGGATAACCCTTTTCGTGGGAACCAGAACATAAAAAATACATAGGATGAAACTTATAGTATAGTATGGTACAATTTTGTCGTGGTATTATTTGATGAATGTAGTGACTGGTGCCTATCCTACTAAACGTTTGGTATTCACAACCGACTATTTCTCTGAGTGCTCACTGATTTCAACACTCTGGTGTCAACATACGCTAGCATCTGTAAATAAGCTACCCAGTATATCCTAGATTATTCATTTGTATACATATACGAACCTCGTGGGTGGCTAGGAAATCTCTTTTTCCCGAAAAAATATGTACAGGAACAGAAATCTTCTCGATATCGTAATCAGGAGGTTTCGTCGAATTGTACAATATTTCATTCTTGGCAGATCCATAGTCGTACCACTGGAAATTTCCACCGCTTAGGAATATTTGCGAATAGTGATACAGCGTCTTAGTGGAGGTACCAGATGGAAAGTTCGTCATAATAAGGGGCAAAATATCCTAAAATGGTAATTTTCCTTGAAATTGGTAAAACTTCGGAGTGAATTTAAATTACTTACAGGTCTAACTTGCTCAACTGCTAAACCAGTTGATAGGGCATTAATTATCTGACAAGGCAGAATGAGAGGGAATTTGCTGCAAGTAAAACTCAATATGAATTTTTGCAGCGCTGTGAATTGACCTAAGGCATATAGTCCAAGCACTTCCAAAATTTCCTGCAACATAAATCAAAGACATTATTTTTCAACCAGTCCATCGGATAAAATTTATTGGAGAGAGGTGGATGTCAGCGCAAGAACAATTCTGATTGGTTCAATTAGGTGATACTCATCTTCTCACAGTTCTCACACAAGTGTGTTATTGGAAATAATCATCACTTATAGTACCACGACAGCTTCTATTTCCGGTTTTCAATTGAAGCTAGAGTGGTACTTGGTAAGACAATTTCACACCTAAATATCATTTTGAGAATGATAGGATAAGATTACATTAAATAAAATACAAAATACCGACTCTAGTTAAGTAAAGTTGGTGGACACATATTTTATTACAAAGAAATCGGGGCATTTTGTATATTATTGATGATATTCACATCCATAACATTGTTAGGTTGAATAAAACAAAATTAACTTGCTTCAGTTACTCAAAATAATAAGAGAAAACAAGTTAATAATAGCTCAATGCTTCAGTTTATCACGAATTCCTTTTACTAAAGTTACAAGAAACACGAAGTACTATTTAAAATCAATTGAATTTGCTGAACTATAGGTTGAAATACAATATAATTAAATGACTTTAGTCAAATGAAATAATGAGAAATAAGTCAATAGTAGCTGAATCTTACAGGTTTTCACAAATTCTTCAAGGTAAAGTTGATAGTGATATATTTTCTCACAAGGGACTCAACATAATTCAAAGTTTGATGTAAATGCCATTTCAGCTATAAATGTCAAAAAAATTCCAGTGTAATTTCATGCTGCGTTTGAAATGTCTTCAAGTATGATACTTCTGTGTTCCAACACTGTCAGGGTGAAAACAAAATATGTTTAAATTAGTCAATACCTACTAACTTGCTAATTTTTTCTGATAAATACCTATGTTGACAGGTTTGCTTTTCTAATTTGTTTACAAGTGATTGAAATAGTTTTTCAGAATTATTTAGGCATACGAATCGTATTTTTCGGCTATTCATTAATTCGCTCATGCCATCACATTGTGCTGTTGTCACTCACATATAGTTTTCATTTTTGAAATTTGGTAATTTCTTTGATTTCTCATTGGAATTCCTTCTGCATTAGAAGCTAATAGAAATTTCTAAATAAATGCAAGAAGATTGGATTCATGCAATCAAACGGGAGGACTGGTCTGACATGCTGACGAAATATGATCGTGTGTGTTGTAGACATTCTCAATCTATTAGCAGTATCAGCTTGTATTGCAAAAGTGCCAGGAGGAATTTAAATAAGGAAGGACAGCACTATTTCCTAATGATAACTATGTGAGACTATTATTTACCTGAAAAATCATCTCGCTGCATTTTTTGTGCATTATACAACAGCACAATGCGAAGGCGTGCAACCTAACCTAATCTAACCTAACCTAACATAACTATGCGATGGCTGCCAGTTGATTGCAGCTTTATTACTAACTTGTAGACATGGTTGTAAACTTGAAATATGCTAATCAGATAGAAAAAGACACGGAAGTCAAGGGTGATATATCTATTCCTCAGAATCAAATACTCAACAGTTCAGATTATACAACATTTCTAGGAATCACCATGAATGCTTGTCTAAATTGGAAAAAACACTGCACCCTCGTGATGAACAAACTGAATTCATTGTGTTATCTTTTCAGAAACCTCAGAAGCATTTTAATAGAACAACAATTATTATCATTATATCATGCTCAAGTTGCGTCAAGGTTGAGATATGGTATATGTATGTGGGGTAACTCTACACTAGCATCAGATGTATTTATTGTACAAAAAAGGAATATCCGTATAGTAGCAGGAGTTCCTAGTTCATTTTCGTGTAGAGGTCTATTTCGAACATTCAGAATTTCAACCCTATCTTGTATATATGTTTATGAACTGTAAATCTACGTTTTCAAAATCAAGAATAGATTTCCTTCAAATGAAAGTATACACAATGTGAACACAAGACGAAAACGTGAACTGCATGTTCCGTTTCGTCAATATAAAACAACTTTAAACTGTCCATCAGTGGTAGGTCTTACTATTTTCAATAAGCTCCCTAGGTGTTTGAAAGATACAACGAAGCTCAATAAATTCAGTAACTTGCTGAAGAATTATTTGATTGAAAAATGTTTTTACAATTTACGAGAATTTTATGATTCATAAAATGTAAGTGTATTATTTTGTGCTGTATTCTATTTTATTTCTTCTTATTACCATTTTGTAAACAACGGTGGTGCTCACACATTTTATGGCTTTATATGTACTTTGACGATTCCAATACATGTTATCTGTGTCTAATGGAAAATAAATATTATTATTATCATTATTATGTCTGATGATTTTCTGCGATTTTCTTACTTTGATCAGGGGATAAAACGGAACTGCTAATCTCGCTATGCCTTGTAACGATCTGAGGTACGCCACTGGAGCCAAGCAGATTATTCCCTTTATATGCTCCTTAGCATGATCTCCATGAAGAGTGGAATAAACCAAAACGGACGTACTTCCCATAGAGTGTCCTATGTAAATCAGATCTTTTCTTTTTGTCGACTTGGAAACGTATTGGATTATGGCTGGCAGATCTTTCGATGCTAGCTCGTGAAAGCTAAAATGAAGAGTTAGTTGAATACACTGAATAAAGTGATCGATTTGAGAGGAAAATGTGTTGTATAATAGTTATACATGTATCAAGAAAGTAAAATATGCTTTTTTTACGCTGACGGAAGTAGAAGTTAGTCCAAGGGCGCTAAAGTGTCACTTTACGACCGCAAAATCGATCAGTGAAGTGCTACTTTACGGCCGGTCGTGCATATAGGTGGTTTATTTACCTAAAATTCCAATAGTCTTTCTCGGATATCGAAGAATTGACGTGTTTAGATGAAAATTGTGTTCCTCTGCTGTTTGGTACCCAGAGGTCGATTCCATTAGCCACTAGAGTGAAAGCTGAAAATTTCAAAGGTATAATAAAGGTGATAAATACATTGAATTTGAAACTTCGGAAGGCTCAAGGTGTATTATCGAATAACAACATTGAACGTAGATTACGTAGACCCCTCTTCCTACCCAAAATTCTACTCATCGACAGAACGAAGAGAATTACGGATTTTGTATGAAACCATAGGATCGCGAGGTCTAGTCGTAAGTACGAAAGCGTAGAAAGACTACTGTTGTGTGTATTTTATTTTATTTTTTTATTCTGACTTTAAAAGTCTGAATTCAGACTTCTTTCTCTGAATTCAGACTTTTTTCTTCGAATTCAGACTTTTTTGTCTGAATTCAGACTCATACTACACCATATATACCGGGTGTAACAGGATTATGGTACACCATACAACATTTTTGACAGGATTCAATTTTTTTAGCATTATACCTAACAATATTAGTACAATTGACTCTATCATCTATCATCCCTTCACTAGCAATACCAGTCAGACGAACTAGACAAGCCCAGTCAGCACATCCTTTCGTTGTCAACCACGGAAGATGTCGAACAGCACTTTATCAAAACTCCTTCATCCATAGAACGGCTATGCTCTGGAATTCATTGCCTGAGGAAGTATTCCCAACAACATACAATCTCCGGAAGTTCAAAAAAAATCCAATACCTACCTCCTGTCCCTATCCTCCCTAGGAACGCACGATGTTCTTTGAACAATATAGTAATTTCCATTCGTGCGCTCCAAGCGATAAAAACAACATAAAAACACTCAAATGGAAAATCAATATTAAATCAGTATTGAAGTTTGAAATGTCACTTATATGGTATCACTTGATTCAGAAAATGATGCAGGATTTGAAAATGTAATGATATACAGGGTGTTCCATTCGAAATTCGAAAGTTATTACCACCTCCGGTGGGACACCCTGTATAATCGAAATTATTCTCCTGGTATGCGCCCTATAATACAATTGAAGTCTGCAGAATATCAAAATTCTGACTCAACTGATAACTGAGCTAAAGAAGACGGGAGGTGAGATGTGAGGACCCTGTATAAACTATACTCTCGCTTTTCATATAGGGAAGTCATGGAAACCATCCATTCTCAAAGTGGTTCGGTATTTTTTTAACAGGAGAAAAACGAACTCAAAGTCGGTCGACCTCAATATTTAATATCAAAATTATATATAAGCAGTGTGACTATAGTTTCGGCTCTATAAAGGCCATCTTCAGACACAATTAAAAAGTACCTAGAAAGTCATAACTACAGGTGTTGAACAAAATGGTAGCTGAGAAAGAGATGACATACCTGTTATCAGTAAAAATTGGATCGTTATAATAGTAATCAGTCCAGCCTCACAATCAACAAGATTTGTAAAGCCAAAAGAACATTACAATAAGTAAGTTCAACATCAGTAAAAGTAATTAATTCCTTTTATATAGGGTATCAGTATATTTGAATGAGCATCACATCATTCATTATAGACGTTTTGACGTACTGAACTGCAAATAATAATAAAACTAAAAATTCATCCAAAACTAAATGACGTTTAGAAGGTACTTACTGAAATCAGTGTATTACCCTCGGAGTGACCTAATGTGAATGTGCATTCAATGCAAACAGTCTGAATTCAGAGAAAAAAGTCTAAATCCTGGGATATAAGTCTGAATTCACAAAAAAAAGTTTGAATTCAGAAAAAGAAGTTTGATTTCAGAGAAGAAATTCTGAATTCAGAGAAAAGAGTCTGAATTTATAGGAAAAAGTCTGAACTTAGAGAAATAAGTCTAAATTCAGACTTTAAAGTCTGGATTCAGAGAAAAAAGTCTGAATTCAGAGAAAAATGTCTGAATTCAGATTCTACGGTCTGAATAACGAAATGAAATAAAATACACACAACAGTGGCCTTTCTACACTTTCGTACGTAACATATAAAATTATGAGTTCTGTGGTGTCAACGTCCTACTGTGTATGGCGTCACCTATCTTGGAGCTCTGTCACTAGATGGCGATAGATCTTCATGTATTAGTCGAAGCAGAGATTCCGAAGAAACAACTTCAGTGTAATATACAGAAACCAAATATCATCCAAATCTCACCTAATGAATCTTTTCCTGAGATCATCCAAGAAACTCCATCTACCAGGATACCGTGTTGAAGCAGGGCTGGTTGGCGATTTTCTAAATTATCTCCTATTTTCCGTACTCTGAATATGGTGAGTATATACCCATCTTCAGTCTCTACTTGATGATCTTCAAGTTTGTATCCATATCTTTCGGCAATTTGAAACTGATGAAGAAACATGAAAAATACGGTTTGTTTGTAGATAAAAACTATAGTGTGTGTCCCAGAACCAACTTATCCCCCTGTATTTCATGAGTAGTACCAGACCAAATATGACACTTCTGGTTCGACCGGAATATAAAGTAAAATTGTTTTGCTGAAGTTACGATTCAGTATAAAACTACCATTCCAACGATATCATACTTCCAATACACAATCTATTAATAAAGATTTTATAAGGAAATACTTTCTGTATTTCACTCGTAACGGAATATTATCATGAGAGTGTGTTATGGATGAAAAAAAAAACGATAGCATGTGAGTAACAAAAATTCGATGCCGAAGTTTTTACACGATGATTGTTATGCACACTAACTATATGTTGATGTAAGTGATACTTGCAGCTCCTTAATGAACATCTCATGCGAAGTACCACAAGGGTCAGTCTTGGGCCCAGTTTTATTCCTTATCAATATTAATTCAATATCAAACTTAGAATTGAAAGGAAAACTTAAATTATTTCAGAATTTTGCTCCATATGAGATGGTGAGTGTCAGAATTGGGTTCATAGCACAATATAATGAAAAAATATATTTTGACTAAAATATGTTTTTTATGACTTCATCCTCAAAGATTTCTGACAATATTCATGGATATAAAATTTTTGCGAAATTTTAAGTACTACTACATTTACCTCAGTTGGTATTTGATTTAGGAAAATTAGATGCACTTCCGGTCAAACCGGAAGCATCATATTTGTTCTCATACTAGCGAAATTATACACTTATCAAAATTAATCGATATATCAAATTTGAAACATCCATTCAAAATAACAAAGAAGATACAGTCATCGAGATTATCCATTTAGGCATCCCTGTTTCATTTAGTAATTAATTCATGAAAAAAAATATCTGCCGAGTAATGATTAATAAAAAATCAAAGCTTACTGGAGTAGAATCCACATCTGGATTATAGTAGCAATGTTTCCTATCGTACTGTAGTTTAGCATAGGCCTGGAAATTCGTACATACATTGTTTTTGCGAATTGAAGCACTATATACACACACTGACGTAAATACCAGGAGATACAAAAACTCAATCATCACTCAACTGTATTGAAAACTACAGAGATGTCTGATTATCTTAGTACTTGAATTGAAACAATTTTTTTTATTTGTTTTCGAAGCACATGTTTCCTGATCACTTGCTATAGAATATTCAGCTAGCTCAAATTCAACAGTCATCACTCTTATTTCATAATTATTGAACTAGACACAGAAATTAAAAATAGTGTGCGTTAATTTACTCAATGAAAACAGTTGCAACACTTCAGAAGAGGTTCAAGTTTATGTGATGCTGGATTCTATACAACATTCGAGTAGGTATTGTTGAAATAAACATAAAGATGGCAAGGTCTTTTCATAATACCTGCTGGTTCATTAACAACTTCATATTCGATGTATAACATTTGAAGGTGTACCACAAAAACAGTTTTCAAGTGTATATTATTTTTGGGATTCGAACCATGTTAATTAGTTGTTTATAAGCAAATGGTTTTTTTATTAGGGAAACACCTACATTGATTTGCTTATAAGTAAAGTCGTTATGAGCGATCATACTGATAAAATTTATAGTTTTTTTTAGTTGTTTTTGAAGAATTCATCAAAATGTGTGTGGAATACTTGTAGAAAAATAAAGAATCTATTAATTTCTTAGTATTCCTTGCCATAAGTGGTAGCTAGTGAATCAATGTTCACTGTCCTCGCCTTATTATTGGATTTTTGTAAAATAAATTGAGTTGTTGATGAATATTGTTTCAAAATCAATGAATTAAAACGGGCTGTAGATGTCAGAATATATTTTCTTATTGGAAACAGAGATTCATGCAAGAAGTGACAAGTTTCATTAAGAATTGGAAAACCAATACAAAGTGGATAAGTGTTTGCAGTGAGCATTTCTTGGAGACCAATTTTATCGAAGGTAAATATTAGAGATTATTTAAAGGGCCCTTTTTTTCAACTCATGAAATGTACAGGGTGTTTCAGAGTTGTGGTAACAAGATCCTAGGGGAGATTTCTTTCAACAAAACATGGAATAAAACGTACATACGATCATGGGTCTGAAAATGCTTCGTTTCCGAAAAACAGGGCGTCCAATTGAAAAAAACAAGTTTTTCATTGATATCTTGAAAACGTTTGGGCCCATGTGAATGAAATTCCTATGGTTGATTGAAACAATCATCACATATTTACTGGACCAATTAGATTTGATCCAGAATTTTTAAGGGTGGAGCCATATCAAGCAAGTCGGCATTTTCATTTTTGTAGCATATATAAAAGTCACCCTGTGTTTGTTTTCTCGGGTTCCTATCAAATATTCAGATCAAATCAATAAAAATACAACATTTCTGTTTCATACTCTTCTTTCGTATCCATATACCTGTAGTGTATAAGGATAAATGAAAATGCTAAAATATTATCCAAGACTTCATTGCACATTATTATTTATGGAAACAAAAAATACATAAATGTGAACAATCTTCAAATTTTGTAAGGAATATTCTATCAAGGTATCAGGTAATGTGAAACTGTTTATTTTCGAGAATTTTCGAAACTATTTTCATATGAACTATTTTTCATATTTTGTTGAGAAAATCTTTCCTTGGCTTTTGTCACCACAACTCTGAAACGCCCTGTATACAGACAAATGAGAAATTGATATTCAAATATCCCTTTTTTATGTTGAAAACGGGAGCAGATTCGTTCCCGAAACGTCCGAAGCTAAGTGAATATCTGATACTTTTTATATACCTATATTTCTCTTCTCCAAACCTTTTTCAACATGAATTGTCACTGATAAGCTAGTGAATCATTCTTTTAGGCTATCTGATAGGAAAATTCTTCAAACGCAGTGACATTTTGGCGCAAATCATCTGATTTGTCCCTACTACACGTATATTGAAATGGTATTCATATTTTTATTTTATTGAAACGAGGAGAGAAGATCCAAAAAAATCTGGAATAATTACCATAATACTGCTTCACGCTCAAAATAATTTCGCGAAAAATGGATTAATTAATAAATGAAAAAGTGCTTACTGGTGTTGAATCAACATCCGGATTGTAGTGGCAATGTTTTCTATCATACTGTAAATTTGAATATGCCTGAAAATTTGTGCAAACATTGTTTCCTCCGATCGATGCACCATAGCATACACTAATCACTGTCATGTAATTCAACACAAACACATATTCCATCATCACTCAACTAAATTATAAAAACAAAATTTGAAATTCTACCGACTAACATATAGTCAACTATTAGAGATTTCTTTTCGTAAATAAAAAATGTATGGAGTTCCAGGTAGTCGTTTCTGAAGGTTTATTTAGCAATTATTGCATTTGTTTTTTGATCAGATTTACCAGTTACTACATCAATTAGCACATTATAATTTTTTTGCCTCAATTACATCGATGGACATGCATTGAGTTGTTTCAAGTTTGAAGTCACATCACTACGTTTCATAAATGAACTTCACACAAATACTGAATCCTTCGTTATTCCTTGTAGTATAACTGAAAATTGCAATAGAGAGGATTCAAGTTCACGGCTATATTGAATTTAGTAAATCACTGGTTAAATAAACATGAGATGATGGCAAGGTTTCTACGTGCGGTTTATTGGTAAAATTCATGTTAACATCGAATTTTACTGTGATTACATCGTTTTGACTTTGACTTTGTGTGATATTTTATGGTATGACGCCAGCCATATAAATGATAAAGTAGTTTTGTAGCATTAATATACGAACAAAGGATTCGCCATTTCAAATCACGGAAAAATATAGGAAACCAAAAAAATTTCAGGAGCGATAGCATTTCTGCCGAATTTCCAAAAAAACATCACTCGCCGGAAATTCTGTAATTTATATCTTTTGCAAGAATCATTGACACCAGGAATGGCGAAATGAGGAGGAAATTCTAGGATCACCCTGTATAGTTCCGTACGAAGGCGAAAACGTTACTGAGAATTCCACAGCTGACATTTTCGACCAATCATTTTGTATCGTTACCATGGCAACTGAACAAATTTCTGGCAATTGTTTCCTCTTCCTTAGGAGAAGGAGGATGACATTACACTGGAAACTTTTTGATGTTTATAGGTGAAATTGGCATTAACATTTAACTCCAGATTCCGTTGAATGCATTCAACAGGATGTTTCTTAAGTACGTGTAAAAAATTCACGAGCATGTTGCTGACGTCAAAAAAAGGAGAAAAGTTCGTATAAACATATACCCGCAAGTTTGTTTTGCATGTTCTGGTTTCCACGAGAAGGGATATCTTGTAATGTTCAGAGGACATGTTGAGAACCAAGGAAAATAAGGTAGGAATTGGTGTTCTTCTCGAATTTCTGGAGGTTATATGCCTCGGGGTACCCCTTCCTTGGCAATGTGTTCCAGAGGATCGCTGTTCGTTGGATGAACGAGTCTTTGGAGAGAGATGTTCTGCAGGTCTCCAAAGTGACCACGAAGGGGTGCGAGGCCTCAACTCGACGGGTTAATCTCGCGGGGACTGCCAAGAGAGGAACAATTGTTAATATTTGAGAAGAGCATCGTCCATGAAAATAACTATGAAATAAAACCAGATCGCCAACTTTCCTACGGTGTTCCGAAGAAGTGAGTGAGTTTGTGAGCGAGGCATCACTCACGAGACGAATTGCCCTATTTTGGACAGAATCCAACAGTTTTAGGGTATGTTTGGGTGCTGCACTCCAAATATGGGAACAGTATTCCAGGATCTGTACCTTATAGATCATCAGCAGCTGACTGGAAGTGGAATAGCTCCTGGCCCGAAACAGAAAACCAAGTTTTTGGGATGCACTTTTAGCAATTGATCTCACGTGATTTTCCCAAGAAACGTTATTGCTGATAGTAATACCAAGCATCGAAATGGATGTCTTCAAAGGTATGGTTACTCCAGAAATGCTGATGTTGGGCAAAGCGAGATCGGCATTTCTAGAGAAAGGGCATGCTTGTGTTTTGTTTGCATTGAATTCTACCAAGTTATTGGATCCCCATTCGAGAATTGTTGCCAAGTCCATATTTATGTTGTCAACATTTCTTCCTCGTTCGTTCGTTAGGGTACTATCATCCGCGAAGTTGTGTACTGGACATGAAGTTGCTTCCAACAAATGTTTGATATGAAGTAGAAATAGTGTTGGTGCTAGAATTGATCCTTGCGGAACACCAGCATTCATGGTAAGAGAGTCATATAAAACTCCGTCGACCGCTACATGGAAAGACCTGTTTGAGAGAAAACTAGCTAGCAGAGAACATAGCTGGGGAGGCAAGCCATAAGATGAAAGCTTGGCGAAGAGTCCGTTTTGCCAGACTCGATCGAATGCCTTGGAGATATCAAGTGCCACGGCTAAGGTTTCACCATATTTTTCAATAGATTGCTGCCATATTTTTGAGACGTAAGCGAGCAGGTCACCAGTTGATCTCTGATGACGGAAGCCATATTGCCTATCGTTGATGATACCTGAATGTTCCAGGTAATTCATGAGCTCGATGTTGAGAGCTTTCTCCATGATCTTTGAAATAATAGATAGCAGTGCGATCGGTCTGTAGTTGCTAGGTACTAGGGGTGGGCGATAATGATTTTGAAATATCGATTATCGATAATCATAATCTATCGATATTATCGATTTATCGATATTATCGATAATTATCGATATTATCGATATTATCGATATTATCGATATTATCGATATTATCGATATTATCGATATTATCGATATTATCGATATTATCGATATTATCGATATTATCGATATTATCAATATCATCGATATTATCGATATTATCGATATTATCGATATTATCGATATTATCGATAATTTTTCTACAAATTATTATCGATAATTATCGATAAATCGATAATTTTTTCCACCCCTAGTCGTGACAAGGGTATTTTTATAAAACTAATTTTTTATATTCACTTTCTGGTTTCTACGTAGGTATAATAAACACAACCATTTTGTCATTATGTTATTTTTCAAGGAATGAGCAATTGAATGATGAAATAAAAATATTCCATATAATTAGATAACCCACCTCACTTGATACTTGTTACTCGTTCAACACATAACTAACCAATAAGTTTGCCACCACAACTAATAAGGGTTGCCACGTTGCCAGATGTCAGATAGCTTCATGCAAGTTGCTGTGCTGGAGTCCTATGTTGTTTGAACAGGGCTGATGTACAGGGTGGCGTGTCTTATTATATTCTTCATTCTTACTTCAATTTTTACCAACAAGTATCTGTTTTATACAGGGTGTTCCATATAAGAAACAAAAATACCTATTTTTCTGATGCTCATTCATTTTGATAATTTTCATATCATTGGTTATATCGGTAATTTCGATAATTTTGATATCATCGACATCATTGATTATTTCGATAATATCGATAATATCGAAAATATCGAAAATATCGAAAATATCGAAAATATCGAAAATATCGAAAATATCGATAATATCGATAATATCGATAATATCGATAATATCGAAAATATCGAAAATATCGAAAATATCGAAAATATCGAAAATATCGAAAATATCGATAATATCGATAATATCGATAATATCGATAATATCGATAATATCGATAATATCGATAATATCAATAATATCGATAATATCGATTATATCGATAATATCGATAATTATCGATAATTATCGATAATATCGATAATATCGATAAATCGATAATTTTTCTCCAAATTATTATCGATAATTATCGATAATTATCGATAATTATCGATATATCGATAATTTTTCCCACCCCTACTAGGTACTCTTGCAATTTTCCAGTTGGACGTAAATATTCCCAATTTGTAAGAGTAGTTGAGCAACTTGCAGAGAACAGGTGTTAGTTCGGTAGCACATTTCTTGAGGACAATCGGTGGAATTCCGTTGGAGCCACAAGCTTTGTTGGTGTTGAGTTATTCGTTTCTGAGACTGGGGAACAATTTCAAAATATTCTTGTTCTCGAAAAAAACTTCCGGTAATAATTGGAGCTACCGTATTATTAGTATAGTATAAGTGAAAATTGTGGATATATCGGCCCTGACTATATTCTCGTTCATTTGAGATGCATATCCGTTATTATATGCATGAATCTATATCAATAATTCATGAGAAATTTGTTATTCTTGATATCGTGAAGTGGTAATATCAACAATGTAGTTGTTCGAAGTGGAAATTATTTAATTTCGTAGATTTAATATTCGTGTGATGTAATTGATAGACCCAGATATAGCCTTTCCATTATTCATTTTCCAGATTAACGGGCATATTGACAAAAATATGATATGGCGTAAATTCGATAGTAGGTACTTACTAAGTAAAAGTTATTGTGAATATTATTAGATATAAAGCATGTCATGGCAACACTATTTTTAGTCGTGAATCGAAAAGTGAAATTGATTAGCATAAATATCTGTATATCCAACTAATTGGGTTTTTTCAATTTTATATGTTGTAAACAACTCTATTCCACAAAACATCAGTCATGTTATCGCTTCGTCTGACTTTTCAGATATTTTGGTGGCAAATTCCAAAAATAGTTGAATTTTTTTTCCAGGTATACACCGGATCAATGAGTTTTTTGGGCATCCTAGGCTGACAACAAAATATGATATATTTTTTTGTGGAACCCTGAAGATCGATAATTAACAAGTGATGCTCCATTTTGCTCAATTTTTATCATCAGTTTGCTTTCAATTTCGGAAGCATATCATTGAATATATGGCAAAAATCCAAGTGTTTGTTAATTCCTTCGACAGTTCTGAGAATATTTCGTTTCATGATGATTTTCGGGAACCCTCTTTTTATCAAAGATACAGGGTGATTAACATTTTCCAGACAACCATTTTTGATAATTTCGAAATTGTCAATAGTCTAAATGAAATTTCCTACTACACTGTGTTCACCATATTCTTTTCTGAGTAAGCTGGACTAGAGGGAGGTACTCATTTTCAACTGTTCTTGTAGATTGAGTATCATTTAGATGTTTCCTTTGACTATGAGATGTCGTTATTGTCTTAAATGGTATTCGCCATGTATCTCCAAAACAAAACGGAATTTCCAAAATCATCAGGAGACGAAATATTCTCAGTATAGTCCAAAGAACAACCCCTTGAATTTTTGAAGCAAGTTTGATATTCATTCATAGGTACATTTTTTCAAATTTCGAGTTCTGATATTATACCTACCATATCTATTATTGTGTATTCACTCTCATATATTATCTACTATATACTATCAAAAGCAGTAAGCAGTATCTTCACCATAACCCTCCCCTGGTAATAATTATTTCACTACACAGGGTGTTGCGAAAGTCGACCGACAACGCTTGACAGGGGATAGCCCTCGTGATTTCATAATCACTGAGATAGGGACATACGTCTTCAAGTGTTCAGTTCTCGAGATACAGGGCGTTGAAGTTGAGAAATTTGAATAGGTTTTTCGCAATATCTCAAGAAAAATTCAATATAATGCATTCAAATTCGGTTTATGGTGTCATCTTTCCATGCTTATTTTTTTTACCAGAAAGACAGGAAGGTAGAATTTTACCCAGAAGTGCGCTACAGAGGGTTGTGATAACTTTTCCTCCCATATTTTCTACGCCACTGATGAAATTTCGATTATTTTCAATTTCTCGAATTGATTGTTCAATTATGTTGAGAAACTGCATCATCTTCAACTGAGCTAAAATCAAAAGTTATCGAGAAGTTTGCATAGTAATTTTTCATCTTCTTCAGTAGTAGAAGAAAACAAACATTTTTGTTTTGTCTTTATGCGTGGAATAACTATTTCTGTTCAGCTACAGAATGAGATCTGAATAGTATCTGAACTACTTAACACGAAAAAATTTTTTTGAAATTTTCTACTACTGAAAATGATGAAATATTACTATGCAATATTTCGAAAACTGTTCATTTCAGCTCAGTTGAAGGTGATACATTTTTTGAACAAAATTGAACAATGAATTCGAGGAATTGGAAATAATTGAAATGTATTCAGTGTCGTAAAAAATATGGGAGAAAAGGTTACCACACCCCCCTGTAGGGCACCATTGCATAAAATATCCGGAATGGCTTTCTGGTCAAAAAATGACCCATTCGAAGATGAAACCATATACCGGAGTTGAATGCATTATATTCAATTTTTCTTGAGATATTGCGAAACAACTATTTTTATTTCTCAACTCAAAAGCCCTGTATCTCGAGAACTGAACATTTGAAAACCGTATCTCCCTATCTCAGTGATTATGAAATCACGAGGACTATCACCTGTCAAGCGTTGTCGGTCGAATTCCGCACACCCTGTATATCCGTGAATTCTGAATCAGGAATGATTCGCGGAAATTATCAGTCGTCAGTATAGACGTCTTTTTTTTTCACATTGTCAACCTGTTGGGTGAAACGTAATAGGGATTCCATTTCGTGCAATCCGGAAGATGAAAAATAAAATCCACATATTTTCGATTGGATCAATTTCATCAGCCGAATGACCACTGGGGTCTTAATGACCCAAAGGCACGTATTTCTAAAGTGGAAAGGTACAATTTAATGGTAAACAATTAAGTTGTACCAAAATTAGTATCGCGCTTGTTTGTCCCTGGTTTCACAGTAGATTGCCTCGAATATCAATTTCTGAATATTATTCAGTTTGAAACAGTCATACTGATTACAGACCTCCATCTGAAGGTACTGACACTTACAGTGGTGGCTGGTAATCATGATTTCGGTACTCGGTCTAGTACTAATCATTTTGCTGGCTTGCCAAATAGTGAGTTGTGCATTTTTTCCTCGCAAAAACAATGTTTGCAACAAAATACCAGACTATGCGACACTTTTTATCAATGATAAGAATTGTTGGTATAATCCTGATGTGAGATCATCAATGGTGAGTTCAATATACTGTCTCCTAAACACGTTTTTCAACTATTATTGAACGTCCGACAACATTGCAAAACTCATTGATACTCCCAAAAGTTTGAGGCAAACTTCAATGTTTAGTGTCTTTCAAGATTCTTCTCTAATTTCGTTTGGTTTTTTTTCTTTATTAGTTGCTCATTCCATTTATCGCCACTATTTCGGTAACATCCTGTGGATAATAAGGGAAAAATAGTGAATATCAGAAAAAGAATTGGGGAAATATTATGTCGAAATAACATACAATTGAATAGAGAATAATGTTCAGTTGCGTTTTCGGGTATATGAATTTGTTTTTGAAAATTCAGCCTCACAGAAAATGTTTCCTTTCCATGTAAAAAATTTGGTGACTTCAAATAAGAGAGCTGTTCCTTTTGAATATTTGTTATTGAAAAAATAGTGAAAGTGTTACTGAGGATGAGCTATGAATAATTGAAAACTAGTCGAGTTTTTTAGGGGTTGATCTCAAATTCTCCTTGAATTGAAAGTTTTATTCGTAGATGATAATGAAATTTGAATACAATTTGAAATGTATTTATCAATAAAAACATTTCTCGAAAGGATTTGAGGGAGATTAATACACAACTACAGTATAAAGTTTGGTTTGAAAAACAAACGACATCGAAAATTATCTGAAGGTAGTGACAGTGACAGTTGTCAAAGTATAGAAGTGTGTTCATTGAAAGCAATAAAGTGCATATTTCTCATCGGTTATTGGTTTATCAACAGTATAAACACGAAAGCCTTTTTTTCTCTTCTTAACGAAAATATTTGCCAATCAACAATTTTATGAGAAAAACTGTCATGGAAAACTGTTGTCTAATGTTAGTTGTTCGAGAGGACTGATGTGAAATTGTTGAGTTAGGAAGGAAATTCATCTACTGGAATTTTCGATATTTGTGTGTGTGTCTACAATTTTTCCTTCAATTTTCATATTCATTTCGCATAATTTTTTTCTTCATGAGATATACAGGGTGTCCCGAAATAAGCCTGACAAACTTCACCAGCAGCTTCTACGATCAAAAATAGGAAGAAAAGCTTCAATGAACATGAGATGAAAAACTCCTAAGGAAGTAACGGCCCCCTGAAGATGATATTTCTTGAGTATTTCCGAAACTCCATGTGATCAAAAGGTAATTTGGTACAAGAACTGAACTTCCCATGCCCAACGCAGTGAGAATGAAATCATTCCAAAATTTCACTCAGGAGTGTATTATACAAGGTGGGACCACATTAAATATTGCTCAAAATTTTTTTAATGCATATTTTTAGACAATTTGATCTCGGATTATGGAAATCCACACCTCTCTACAAAAAAATGGTACTCTTGTTCCGTAATGATCAGATTAACATTATTGAATAGAAGCGAACCAAAAATACATATCAGATAATATGCATAACATTGCAATGAGTCGTACCTAGTGGTAATTAAAAAAAATGCACAGAAATTGAAGTGGTTTCATCATCATTTTTCTATTCCACGCGCCTCGATGATATGGTTTGGTGAAAAAAAAGTAGTTAATTTTTTTGAAGTTAATATGTTTTGAAAAATGGCAACGTTATGCATAAGATGTGAATGTATTGATATTTTCAAATCGTTTTGAGTCGAAAATCATACATCTGATCGATGCGTAACAGCATTTTTTCTCGTGGAATGTTGTAGATTTTCATAATTCAAGATTGAATTGTCGAAAAATATGCATACAAAAAAGTTTGAGCAATATTCCTGAATGAAACTTTTCAATGATTCATGTTCACCGCATTGGGCATAGAAAATTTAGATCTTGTACTAAATTGCATCATTTTATCACGTGACGTTTCGGAAATATTCAAGAAGTATCATCTTCAGGAGCACCCTTTGCAGTAGCTTCCGCAGGAGGCATTTCTTGACTCATGTTCATTGTAACTTTCATTCCTATTTTTGGTCGTAGAAGCTGCTGGCGAAGTTTGGCAGGCAAATTTTGGGACACCCTGTATATGTATGAAAATTCAAATTTTGTTAGGACACAACATTTCTTGGATCGTCAACAGCAAGAATAATCATTTCCATGATTTATTAGTTCGTTAGTGGATATACAGTGTCATTCATAAAGTCAGCATCATATGGGAAACACTTTTATTAATGACTTATTTTGAAATTCGAGTTGGACGTCAAGTTTTGCTTCAAAAAAGATCAAAAATGGCCTACTCAATCGGGGTCACGTGACTATCGCTACATGTAAAAAGTGACATTTTTTCAAATTAATCGCTGAAAGTAGGCTTATTTGTTCGAATATCGAAAAAAATTTACTTGAAAAAGATGTTTCTATTTCAATTTTACATATGTGACTCGGATTTTATCTTTCTATTACATTTTTTAGATTTCGATATTTTTTGAAAATTTTCGAAATTTCTGTTATATTAGAAAAATTGTAATTCGATAAAACTACTTCATACCAGTAGCTCCATCATGCTACTAACTTTCAATTACTATTTATCACTAATTATCGACAAAAATATGATTTTCTTCAGAAAATGATAATCTCCGCTTCAAAATTCTGTTATGTTTGATGCAAACATAACATCAAAATGCTGTTATGTTTGAGTCAAGCATTTAGAAACGAAATTCATTTGAATTTATTTTCTCAGTACTGGAAAGATCAGTTTAAATGAATTTCGTTTCTAAATGCTTGACGATATAGGTATCAACTTTGCATCAAACATAACAGAATTTGTAAGCGGGTATTATCATTTTCTGAAGAAAATCATATTTCTGTCCATAATCAGTGATAATAATAATTGAAGGTAAGAAGCATGAAAAAGCTACTGGTATGAAGTAGTTTCGTGGAATTAACAATTCTTCAAATATTACAGAAATTTTGAAAAATTAAAAAAAAATTAAAATCGTAAAGTTGCAATTGTAGGATCAAATTCGAGAAGCATGTGTAAAATTGAAATAGGAACAACTTTTTCGAGTAAACTTTTTCGATATTCGAACAAATAAGCCTTCTTTCAGCGATCAATTTGAAAAAATGTTACGAAAGTCACGTGACCCCGATTGAGTAGGCCATTTTTTATCTTTTTTGATGCAAAAACTCAACGTCCCACTCGAATTCCAATATAAGACATTAATAAAAGTTTTTTCCATATGATGCCGACTTTCTGAATGACACTGTATATGGTGGATATCGAAAAAATTTTACAGGGTTGCATTTGAAGAACAAGTTGGTTATAGACATTATTCTTATTATTTTGATTGCAGGAAGAAATCTTGAAGAGAAATGGTTACAGGGCGGAGAAACACAAGGTGACGACTGAAGACGGATACATCCTGACCATGTTCAGGATTCCTGCCACATTTCCTGCTGACCCAGTGTCCCAAGGTCGACCCATCCTGATACAACACGGTATCGGTGGAACAGGGGTTTTTTGGATCCTGCAAGGGCAAAATTCACTCGGTATGGTGCGTTTGTTATTGAAAAAATCACCTTCTGCTTGCAATTAACTTTTAAACCGGTTCAATAAATACATGATGATTGTGAACTTGGCTATGCCGAATTGGGTCATTGAACACTGCAAACGATTATTGGATATAGAAGGGATTTTATAATTTGTTGAGAAAGCAGTGAGGTGTACAGATGTCATTGATAAGAAATTGATGAATGTTTCCTCGTTTTTCCTTCTTAGCTGATTAATTAATTCTAATATGACGAAACATATCACGGGTGATTTTTCAAGGTGGCTTACCTCTACTTATAACTATTATATTATTATTGGAGGCAGTTGAACGAATTTTCGGAGCTGTGAATTATAGTTCAATTGACACATTTTGACATGTTTACTCGCTTTGGTAAGCCAAAGCGAAAAAAACTGAGTTTTTATCTTACTTTTTTCAATATCGTGAGTTATTTTTGGATGATATTTTTGAACTCAATGAAATCATTGGCAATCTCCTGGAACCAATTAGGTTATGGAAAATATTCTGATAATATCGTCTAAGTAATGATCTTTGGATTTCCAAGCCTATCAAGCTTCGAAATGTTATTTATTGTATTCGGGCCACAGCCCATTTCATGTATTTCAATAAAATGCAATTCAACAGGCAATCAATGAACGAATATCCAATTGTGATACATAGTTGAATGGAGAATTTCAAGGCGAATAAGATAGGCTACAAAAATATACAGGATGCTATTCGAAAATGAAAAGTTAGGTCTACTATCAATCAAACAGGTGGTTGAAAAAAATTGTCATTCAGTTCAAGGGAAGCGCCATCATCGATAATATAACCCTTGTGAATTTCAAATTTTTATCTCTTCAAATAAAAAAACTACATGCTGTTACATGTCTCCTGTGTCACCCATTATATAGTATATTGTATATCAATCGGTGTCTGTACAAATGGAAATTCAACCTCAAAACGAGCATCCATAGCATACACGGAAAAAAAAGTTTTGTTGCGCCAACAAAATACTTTTGGTCATTTTTATTTTGTTAAATTAAACACAATTTTGAGGAATCAACAAAGTATATATTCATTTCTTATTCAAAGAGACAAAATAATTTGATTCAAATATTTGCTTACTTGAACAAAAGTTTGATTTCGTTCAACAACCTTTATGGTTGAAATAAAACAAATTTTGCTGATCCAACTATTATCTCATTGTTCGATCAATCATATGTATGAAATTAATTTTGACAAATATCTTACTAAACACAACATCATATTTTGTTGAGTCAACAATCATTTCATTGTGCAACCAATCGAAGGTTTTTTTTCTATTCGACAAAATTGAATTGATTATGACAACATTATATTTTGTTGATACAACTCATCACTATCACGAAATATGTTGTTATTTCAATCAAATTAGTTTGTTGAACAGAACCCACAAAAACATTATATCAAACAGATATTTTGTTGAATGATTATCTAGTTACATTTTTGCCACCAGGTGGCGGTTCTTCCAATCTTCCTACGCTCGCCTCGATTGGGGTGTACATATACCTACCTAAAACATCCGTTTATAAAATTATATTAGGCTGTCTGAAAATTTCATATGACGCTCATTCAAGATAATAAATAGTCTTGAATCAACTGAGGAAATTTATCTCTAATTTCTCTTAGTTTTGAAATTCAGTTATTGGATTTATTTTATTATTCAGCAAAATATTTTGTCAATTCAAAATACAATTTTGTTGATCGAAGAATATATTTTGTTATTTTAACATAATTCACTCTCTGAATAACTGAAAATTTTGTCACTTGAATGAGATGATATAATCATTTCAATCAACAGAATCGTTCATAAGATTAGAATATTGTATTATAGGAACAAAATAGTCCTTGTTCATTCAACCAACTCCTGCTGTTAATTTGAATAGTTAATAAGTTGAATCAAGTTTCAAACAAAAATTCTTTTCTGTGTAACAGCAACGGTAGTCAAATGTTCATATTATCCAGGTGAACAAAAAGAATCAGAAACAATTAAAAAAGGGACGTACGTATATTATATTTTCGTTCATTGATATTTATTATTCAATTCAAGTATATCAATCAAATTAGGTTCGATTTTTATTATTGTTGTTTGTTTGTTTTATTATTGTTATAAATAATGCAATTCCACATCAGACAACGGTTTTTTTTGGTCTCGTAGTCCTGAAATTCAATCAAAACCAATGGGGGATCACTATTCGTTATGATAATCCTTAATCGATTAAAGAATGAAATACAGGCGGGTCATTTCTGGTCAAACCGGAAGTACGACAAAGCAAGTAGACATGTCAAATAACGTTAATTAAACCATCATTCACAACCCCCAAATTCGGTTTCACTACTTTCAACTACGTCAACTAATAAATCAAATCATATATTTCTCACAGTTGTTTCATATATTCTTCAAATTGATTTTCATGTTAAAGAATCTTTAGAAAGTGGAATATTTGATTTGGAAAAATCGAATTTTTGTTTTTCAGCATTCTTCCTGTCAAGAAATGGTTATGATGTGTGGCTATCAACTACAAGAGGTGGAACGTACTCTAATAGACACGAAAGACTGACAACAGCTGACCCTGAATACTGGAATTACAGGTAACATCTAGCTAGTTCATTAGATTTTTTTTTTCGTCTCTTCTAGTGCACGAGAGGAGATTACCATAATGCTCGGAGAAAATCGTTCGTTTTTTGCGGTGAGATCAAAGGATTAGTGAGTGTGACATCACCCACCAAGCGAATGGATATTCTCCCAATGGTATCTAAAAGCATCAGCGTATGTTTGGGTGCTGAACCTCATACGTGAGAACATTATTCTGAAACTGGCCGTATCTATGCTTTAGATCATGAGAAGCTACTGAGGTGTGTAGTAGCTTCTCGCACGGAACAAAAATTTGAGATTTTTTGAAGCAGATCTCGCGATGGATCTGACATTATTTTTCCCTGGATGAGTAGGTATTGCTGATGGAAATACCGAGCAGATATAATGGACTTGGTGGGAATGGTGATTTCAGACATTGTTATATCAGGCATATTGTATTTCGCCTTCCTAGAGTAAATACAGGCTTGAGTTTTGGTAGAGTTGAATTCAACAAGGTGGTTGTTGTAATAATTTTAGCAAGATCTTCATTGACAGCGTTGTCTTGCTTTCGTTGTGAGTTCTTGGTTTCCTGAAAAGAAATGGGAATTCTGGAAGAAAACACAGATCATTGATATGAAGTCAAAACAATGTTGATGCCAAAATTAATCATTATTTCAAGAGAACAAGCCTATGAAAAAATCAGAAAAATCATTTCCCAATGAATGTTAATGTCTATAATACCACCATTGAACCCTCAGAACGAAGCAAGTTTTTAGGAATACATTTCAGATGAAGCACTATGCTGGAAATACCAAATCAATCATGTGTGCAAAAAATTATCAAGTGGGTATTGCGCATTATTTCAGTTGAAAAACCAGCTCGACCAAACAACCCTGATCGACGTTTATTACGCTATCATAAATTCACATATTACGTATAATATTATCCTATGGGGAGGAGCCACTGGAATAAATAGATTATTCATAGCGCAGAAGAGGGCAATTAGACTTATATTTAACTTGAAAAAAACAGACTCATGTAAACCATATACTTCAAGAAACATTCATTATTGACTGTTCCGTGTATACATATTCATAGCTGTGTATGCTATATTAAACGAAATATGAAGTTTTTAACAAGGAATTGTGACAATCACCGTTACCAAACAAGGCATGGTGAAAAAATAATCATCTCAAAACATTCGATTAGCCTATATGAAAAGACTCCTTTATGTATTTGAATGTTTTGATTTTTATATTCTGATATTCAATTCTCAACTTTTTGTAGTTAAATGTCCCCAATGTACTTTGTTTGTGATTCTTCTATGGATGTTATGATTGTTTATTTTTGATATGTAGTTTATATTACGATTTAATCTCAAATATTTTTATACTTCTCGACTGACATGTCCTATTTCATATGTATATGAACACAAAGGATGAATAAATATTCTATTTTATTCTATTCTATTCTATGAAAGGGCCTCATTTTCCATTCTGAACGCAATAGTTTATTTAGTTTGCTGAAAAAATTTTTATTCTAGTTTTCATGAGCATGGAATTTATGACTTGCCAGCAATGACCACCTACATATCGAAAATTACTGGGAGAAAGGGCGATATCACTTACATAGGTCACTCGATGGGGACAACGATGTCCTACATTTACTCGATATTGAGGAAAAAGCACGCAGAAGAACATTTGAACGGGATTATATCATTCGCACCTGTGGCTTACACGAGGAACGTCAAGGGATTGTATAGATTTCTTTCTCCATTCGCAGATACACTCGTGGTAAGTAGCTACTCAAAGATTTCGAAGCATTTTTTGGGTCATATTTTTCTTTGAAAAATTCGCGAGACAATTTCTCCCTGGATTTCCTTCAATTTTTGTACTCCACAAACCATTCCACTAAATGAAGAAGTTGTCTTATTTGGTTTTTATCAAAATGTGCAGCAGCAATTTTGCGTTGGCAAATTTCCCTGACAGTCACAATATGATGGTATTTATCATTTAGCAAGTTAGGACAAATTTTTATACATGGTGAGTCAAGAGGAACTTTACAGAGATAGTTTAAATAAAGTAAATCCCCATTTTTTTCCACTCATTAAAAAAATGGAGCTGATTTTATACATTTTTTCATACAGATGATGCCATGTCTCTTCAAATATACAGGGTATACAGAAAAATATATTTTTAAATGGAATGCGCCGTATATTTTGTAGATTTAAATTCCTCAATTCATCCTGATTTCGAATATATGCTATAACGGATCCATATCTATCAAAATATACAGCGCATTCCATTTGAAAATATAGAAATGTATATTCCCGCATACCCTGTATATTTGAAGAGATATTGCTGCACTGTTACTATGATTGGAACCTGTGAGAAAAATAATTGTATAAAATCAGTTTCAAAATTGTTGGAAAGGATAGACAACAGAAAAGATAAAGAGGGGTTCATTGGTTAATGAAACATGATGAAACTAACCCTGTACATACTCCTACCACGAATAGATTCCTGAGAGGAATATACCTGATAACTAGAAATTGTCTTCTCCTTTTCTTTATTGAGGTGATTTAGGGGATTTGGCAAAAATAGCTTTTGGCCCTAACTTCAACAGCTATTTCGATTTTTCTGTATTCTTTATGGAACATTTTGCTACTGATTATGTATCCAGAATCGGAAAAATCCGAGACCGTTCTTGAACAATTTTACTTGGTTAGTTCAAATCAGATAGTTCATCCTTTATATGGTTTTTGTAAACTGTGACAAGAAATCAACAAAGGTCAAAAACAAACAACAAAAATAAAATATTCGAAACTTTTCTCACACTCTCACTGAATATTAGAAGAAAGACAATAATGTTTCAGAATAAACGAAAGTTTGGCAAAATATATATATTTATTTGGAAATAACTACAAGGCAACGAGTAAATTTGTAAAGTTAGACCTACATTTTCAATGCTTCAGTTCGATGGTAGATGGTAATATTTACCCTTCAGATTGAAAAGGAATATTGTCAGATATATTATGAATCTGAAATAAATTATAGATGTGAAGGAATATTCTGAATACGTCGGTCGATTAGACAGTAATAGCAAAATATTCCATGAAACAAATCAGACGTGTAGAAAGAGCAGTTGGTATGTTATTACGAAGAAATATTTTGCCAAATCTCATAATTCACACTTTATATTAGTCAAGAAGATAAGAAGGCACTTTCTGATAGTCATTAGGTTTTCCCCCTCAGGGTCCACTATTCATGTTAGAAGTATGTACAGTTCCTCATAAAGTATTATTATAAAATATGGCAAGGAATCATCATGGTTCTTGTTGTCTGGAAATTTACTTCTTTTCACGCTTTGGACAAACTTTCATTTCATTTCCACTATAATGATAGACCAATGGTCCAAAATACGTCCACGTATGTCCCATTTGATGATATCTCAATATGAATCAAAGATGTGGCGATGAGTTATTTTTATTATTCAAATTAGTGATAGTTGATGTGAGTTTTTTCTTCAATTTCAGCATTTGTTGAACGGCATCGGGATTTACGCTATAGGAGACCTACCGATTTATTCCAAAATAATATCAACGCTGTGTGGCACTTATCCCAGTGTGATTTTTTGCGAATTATCAGTGGCGCTAACAAGTGGTTTATCAGTAGAAGAAGAAAGACCCGTAAGATTTTGAGTATAATAGTTATTCATACCCCAAGGTAGTGTATTACTCAGGGACCAAGATTATATCCGGAGGCTTCAGTCGAGGGCTATAACCCAGCGAGCACAAATACATCTCAGAGATGTTGAAAGTACGAGATTTCGAGACATTGAACCTCCACTGCGATGTTCTGTTCACACATGGATAGAACTATTATAGAACAGCCAATGTCCGCCGCAGGCGGCAATTATCGAGATGTCCTTGATATGTCACAAAACTACCTTCTCCCTAGTTCTTTTTAAAGCCTTTTCATGGACACAACAGAACATTTTCAACGCGTCTTGCGCACATTGAATCGCTGTAAAAAATCCATTTTCGAGGTACTTTTCTGAAGCCTTTTGTCAAAATGAACTTTTGCATTAGGGTTCCATTTCCCTTGAATGAAAAAATGCATTAAAAATAGATTGAACATAAAAATATTTTCTTGATATGAAATCACTTTCTTAATCGGTTTCTGAGTAGTGCTTACTACACACAGACATATAATTGGAAATAGGTTTCCCAATTTTTGAAATGTTCTCCACAATGCATAATTTTGCAACTGCGGAGAATCTGTGTATTGATGAATTCGTACTCTTATGTATTGATTACACTGAGGCACCGAACAACACATCTTGCATCTGATGGTCATTATTACAAACTAAATAAGTCTTCTAACACAATAAACTTCACCAAATTCCTTTCTGTTCGTTAGCAGCGTGATGAAGCGTGACACGCTGCAAACGCGAATGCCAATTGCGAACAAGAAGAACAAAATCGAAAACAAATCAGAATTCATCGTATTGTGACGTAAGCATGAGACGTTGTGGTGGGGCAAACAAAAAAAGGGCACAGAAGAACAAAAACAATACTTTCAGTATCCTTCTAAGACCTCTTTGGGAAGTGCATATTACGCCTCAAAAAAACATCCTCATGCCTACATTTCTAAAATATCCCAAAACATTCCAGGGATACCTCTCAGTAGGCAAACAAAAAATTGCCACAGAAGAACAAAAACAATACTTCAATATCCTTCAAAGACCTCTTTGGTCAGTGCATATTACGTCTCAAAATAACATCTTCATGCCAACATTTTCAAAACATCCCAAAACATCCTAGGGATGTTTGTGCTCGCTGGGAATATCCTGTGGTAATCATATTCGCCACTACCAAGGTGTATATTGCATTTTTTTACCAATGGCAATATACACTTCCCTAAAAAATTAATGCACCCCCAAAAAGAATCAAAAAGTTTGAGATACATTTCGTCAAAACTACTTTTCCCACTTTGATGATTTTTGTTTTGGATGATAGGTTATCTTCTTCGCATCAATATTGACTCAACAAAAACTGTATTCGCATAAAAACCTCTCTTCTATGGATACCGGGTGTAGCAATTATAACGTTTTTTGCTTTCATGAAATTTGTAATACCCTGTGGAGTGAACAGTTACGTTATTAAGTTGAAATTGAAAATACATTTTAGCCTCATCTTTTCTCAACATCCCTTATCTGGATTCCCTCCATTATCTCATAGCATGAAATGAACTTATTGGCACTATTAGCAGATCTGGGAAGGCATTTCTTCGACTTTTAATTTGTGATCATAAATGAAAGCCTTACAACTGAAAGGTATATATCGGTGATTTCAGAACTACATATAGGCGATAGGATTTTTATTGATGCTAGATTATGCCAGGCCTCATGTCGCCCGAGTTGTGAGAAATTATCTAGAGGAAGTCTGTATAGCTACTATGGCATGGCCAGTTCGAAAACCGGATTTGAATCACATTGAGAATATCTGGTACATAATGCACGGCCAAGACTGATGATTCAAATTTGGAAAGGATTGGACCTACATGACATTAGGTCTCTTATTTTGGGTATAGGCCATCTTTGCCAATGATTCTTGCTCGCGGCAAGAATATACGCTACCGCCCCTTTCTTTGAACTCGTGACTTCACATTCTGTTTCGTTTTTTTGTTGTTCAATATGGATATTAATGTTCCATAAAATCATGTTCTTCTATAGAATGGTGTTCCTCGAGTAGTAGCAAAGATAATAGATTGAATCCAAAGAAGTGTTGAGAAAAGATGAGGCTAAAGTGTGATTTCAATTCCCACTTGATACTGTAACTATATCAATCTACAGGATATCACAAATTTACTAATTACGCTGTAATTGCCAGACCAAGTAGGAATAAAAAATAAGGTTTTATGCGGAAATGGTTTGCACACGATAATTCATTGGAGAAGTGTATTTCAATCATTATAGTTCTGTGAAACTGAGCTATTGTCACTTTGAAAGCACCTCTTTTCAATTTCAATTGAAATCTAGTAACCAACACCATGACAGTATAATGAAAAGTTGTTATTGGTAAATAACTATTAGATTCAATTGCGATTCCTGCGAATCTCGCCTCAGAACATTGGATTCCGGTTGATTATAACATAACAGAGGTAGCTTTGTCTTTATTGACATGAAATAGCGAAAACTACCTTGGTAGGTTCTATAGCTAGTGGAAAAAAATGTATTACAACTGATTTAATACTTCAGTGCTAAGGAAAATATTTTTCAAAATTTTAGGATCTTCTGCCAGTTTTTGGAAGCTACTTCCCTGCTGGGACATCTCTCAAACTGATACAGCATTTTTCGCAGTGCATCAATGCAGGATACTTACAATTCTATGATTATGGGGACCAGAACATTGTCAAATATAATGCTACTAAGCCACCCATATATGATTTAAATGCAATATCAGTGCCAGTACATTTGTTTGTAGGACAAAAAGATTTCATCGGAAATGTAGAAGTGAGTATTGTCCCTATATTGAGGTTCTTCAAATTGGTGTGTTTAGAAAATAAAATAGCATATTGTTTAACGAGCTCGGAATAATAGTCATTTTCCACGGAGATAAGTTTGCAGCATAAGCAGTAGACGAATGCAGCGAATCATACGAGTGGGAAATTATAGCATTCCGTGCGAATCATACACTATTCTTTTTCTACGACTGTAACAGATAAAAGCGATATTTTGGCCATTTTGGCTCAGGTAATGCTGCATTAGATGGAACTAGCAACGCTTCAAATTTGACATTTCATGGGGAATGATATTTATTGTGAAGTGATAACACAATGAAGTCTTATGTCAGATAAGGGAATGGAATTGAAGACATACAATGTACCTCATTGAGTGATCGAAAACAGTGAATCAAAAGCAATTTTATGTAGCCGTAGAAAATAGTTGAAATTATTTGCTCTATCGGTTGAAACTGACAGATTGTTATATTTCAGGATTCCGAAACATTGTTCAGACAATTGAAATCCAATAGGGTTCCAACTTCGATGAGTTTTTACAACTATGCCCACAACGATTTCTTCTTGGGGAGAAATTTCGAAAATTTGTATAGTCAGCTACTGAAGACGATAAGAATGCTTTAACACATGTGACTTTATTAGAAGCCAGTGATCGTGGCCCCATAACTGGATGGAATTCAGAAGACTGAATATTTTAAAACACAGTATTTTCAACAGATGTTACATAAAATTTGTTATTGTTTAGTTATTTTTTTTATCTATCACCTATTTTCCTCATCATGAAAATATGTACTAATCAGACACCCCCATTTTTTGAACGAAATCTATTATAATAAGTGATCATATCTTGAGACCCGCAACCCCAGATGAATTTAACCCCAGATGAATCTTTCCATATTGATTTTCATCAATAAAACTTGCATTTTGCCTCCAGCGATTCAGAGAAAATATGGATTCACGCTTTAGTAATATAGTGATAGTATGGATCTGGCAATTCACAATCATTGTTTGTTGGTTTCAAATTTAAGTTATTTAGGAAATAATCTAACCGTATATCGAACTATTGATTTAAATGTATTGAATTCGTGGATCTTGTGGTATACTTGATATATGACTATTTTCACTTCAAGAAATTATTGAAATGACAAGCTCTCATTTCGTTGTCAATGAGCGAAATGAGGGAAAATATAAGGTGAAAAAGAACTAGATGAGACCTTCAAAATAAGGTATGGTATAAACCCTTTCCTCTATTCGAATTTTGGTTAACCCTTGCTACAGGGTCAAAGCTATGGGAGTGGAAAAAGCTAAAAATTGCACACCTAACATTTTCGACCTATTAGAGGCCCGTATTTTGTATCGTTACCATAGCAACTGAATGAATTCCTGCAAAGCTATGGGAGTGGAAAAAGCTGAAAATTGCACACCTAACATTTTCGACCTATTAGAGGCCTGTATTTTGTATCGTTACCATAGCAACTGAATAAATTCCTGCAAATTTTTTCCTCCTCCTCGGAAGAAGGAGAATGAAATTACAATAGCATTCTTTTTTTTAATTGACTGGGCCTTTACTTGATAAAAATCCATGGTAAACGAAACAAACATTCCCATAAAAAAATAGTCACAAATATCACGAAATACAGTCACATATAAGTACTCATAAGATTTGGGTATATGAGAAACAGGAACGTATAGTGAGAATGAACAGCATAAATACAAAACAAATGAAAAAATTTAACGTAAAGAACATACTGTTAAACAACCTAGTTGAATTCAACGCCACCAAAACTCAAGCCTGCATTTTCTCTAGAAAGGCGGAACTCAGTATGCCCGATATTGTAATGTCTGGCTCCACCATCCCCACCAAGCCCACCTTATCTATGCTCGGTATTTCCATCAGCAACACTCTTTCATGGGATAACCATGTCAGATCCATCGCAAAAGCTGCTTCACAAAAAGTCGGATTCTTGTTCCGTGCGAAAAGCTACTTTACACCTCAACAGCTTCTCATGATCTACAAAGCGCACGTACGGCCTGTTCTAGAATACTGTTCCCACATATGGGGTTCAGCACCAAAATATACGCTGATGCTCTTAGATTCCATCCAGAGAAGAGCCATTCGCCTGGTGGGTGACGCCACACTTACTCACTCTTTGACATCATTGGAACACCGTAGAAAGGTCGGCGACCTTTCACTTTTCTATCGATACTTCCACGGGAAATGTTCTTCGGAAATCTCTGCTATCATCCCTTCACTAGCAATACCAATCAGACGAACTAGACAAGCCCAGTCAGCACATCCTTTCGTTGTCAACCTCGAAAGATGTCGAACAGCACTTTATCAAGACTCCTTTGCTAGGCTCTGGAATTCATTGCCTGTGGAAGTATTCCCAACAACATATAATCTCCAAAAGTTCAAGAAAAATTCCAATACCTACCTCCTGTCCCTATCCTCCCTAGGAACGCACGATGTTCTTTGAACATTATAGGGATTCCCTTTCGTGCGCTCCAAGCGATAAAAAAAACAGAAGTATTGTCCTTTTTTGGTTTATACGTATTCGTCCTACCGAATACAACTCTCGCTTCAATACTTTGAAAATTTCCGAATTGAAGCTCTAGTGGTATTATAAGTGAAAATTAGTTTCGAGTGAGACATTTTCATTGTCCCACCCTGTACAGCTATTTGTTACCCTATGATGATGGAAATCCCGTCAATCAATCCAACTTCTATTATTTATATAAAACCACAATACAACATTTCAATATCAATCTGCAATCGGAATTCGAATACAATTAGTGAGATTGAAGGAATAAATCAATTCTACGTATAAATAAAGAGGGCGGAATTTATGGCTGCTTTTAAATGCGAATTTTATGTGGATACTGTGCCACCCAATTCAATTATAGAGATCGGGGTGGGTCACATGAAGATATCATTTGGAAACCGTAAAGCCAAGCCCCCTTTTTTTTCCTCATCCGAAAAATCATTAGTGGAAATGCGAACCTCTTGGAAAGCAAAAAAAATACACAGGGTGTCCCAAAATTGCTGGAACAAAGAGCTACCATGTGTAATACAGGTCAAAATAAAATGATTGGGCCCATTTTATTTATACAGAGTGGGCCTTTGAAAACGAAACAGAGGCTCTGTAGGTCGCCAAAACCGTATTATAAAAAAAAACTGAAACAGGTCAACTACATTTTCGAGGGGGGCATCTTTCTAAAATATTTTCAGCCCTGCGGCGTTGCCGCTTCTGAAGAAAAGAAGCAACAACTTTGTTATTTCAAATGGAACACCTTGTATTTTATTGCATTTTTAGATTCTCCCCGAAGATCTGATTTCATCAATGCATCACACTTAGGGTCTAGCTGTAATGGTTTCAGGGATATAAAGTGTTCAAAATCGAGATTTTTCAACTTTAACATTTTTTTGTGTCGAAACTATTCATTATTGGTCAAAACGGCTCTCATGTCCCGATCTCAACTTGTGATTTACTATCTACTGACATTTATTTGAAACAAATACAGGGTGGTTCAAGATTCAGAATTCTGATCACCCTGTATCTGTTCCAGTTAAGTGTCAGATAGTAAATCACAAGTTGAGATAGGGACATGAGAGCCGTTTCGACCAATAATGAATAGTTTCGACACAAAAAAATGTCAAAGTTGAAAAATCTCGATTTTGAACACTTTATATCCCTGAAACCATTACAGCTAGACCCCAAGTGTGATGCATTGATGAAATCAGCTCTTCGGGGAGAATCTAAAAATGCAATGAAATACAAGATGTTCCATTCGAAATAACAAAGTTGTTGCTTCTTTTCGTTAGCAGCGGCAACGCCGCAGGGCTGAAAATATTGTAGGACGATGTCCCCCTCGAAAACGTAGTTGACGTGTTTCAGATTCTTTTCATAATCCGGTTTTGGCGACCTACAGAGCCTCTGTTTCGTTTTCAAAGACCCACTCTGTATAACAAAATGTACCGTTTGTCCGTGAGACGAGTTCGACGTTTACATCATGATGGAAAAACACATTTTTGTACGCTGTTCAAAAATGAGTGGAACAAGTTGGATGGAATTTGACCAAAAGTGCATTTCACAGGATGGCCTTCCTTTCGGGGACTGAAAAAACTCAAAAGAAACCACCAGTCACCCCCTGAAATTTTTTTCAGAACATTCTTAGGGGTGGTAATAATGTGCTAAATTTTTGAGCCAGCTGACTGATTATCTTCATTTTGTTACCCTTGTGAAAATTTCAAACGGAAAACATTGTTTCTCAAATAATGCAAACAGATATTCCTTAAAAGTTTGATATAATTGTAATACAAAATTAGTTTGCAGTGGAGACAAAGGGATTTGGCTTTTTATTGATAAAGGTGAGTGTCTTATTGAATATCAATCTGAAGAAAAAACGTCCTGCCTTTGTTGCCACTGTCAACTATTATTTTTTTTATAATGATATTGACTTTCACTATAGGAATATCTGTTAGCATTATTTAAGAAAACATTTTTCTCGTCGGAACTATACGGAATACGATATTTTCACAAGAGAAACAAAATGAAGATAATCAATCAGTCATCGTGCATGGAGAAACAGACAACTCAATTACCGCCCCTGAGAATGTTCAGAAAAAAAAATCATCTTCAATTTCTTTCGGGTTTCTTTGATCACTGGAAGAAGGGTTGTCCACTGAAATGCACTTTTGTTAAATTTCATCCAATTTGTTCCGCTCATTTTTGAGCGTACAAAAATGTTTTCTTCATGTTAACCTTGAACTCGTCTCACAGACAAACGGTACATTTTTTTATATAAATAGGTTGAGCCCACTCAACTTATTTCGAACTGTATTACACATGGTAACTCTGTGTCCCAGAAATTTTGAGACACCCTGTATAAGGGCTCGTATAAGCTCTCATTATTTATATGAATATATAAGATCACACTCTTTACCCAGATTTTCAAATGGAAATCCGATTATTTTTACATATTTTGTTTTATGAAGTATATTTTGCTTACAGGAATATCATCTTTAATCATAAGATTGACCTGTGTGGAAAACCACGATCGAAATAACGTGTAGCTATGAGAAACTTTTGAGGTATATAAGGAGTTTCACAACTCTCCAGATAAAATATTCCATCTAATCCGCTGTCATGTTTGTCTGTGGATATTTCAGATCCGGATATTGAGATCAGTCGGTACATATTGAAATATAAGACTCTTGTAGTGTATATTCCTGGAAAAATCCATAAGATTATAGGTACTCAATGTGAATAGGAGTAAATGGTATACTTCGGGAATATACTTTTTCCATTTCTTGGAGCGCCGGAAATGAAATCCTTATTATGTTCGTAGAACATTGTGTAAATTTTTGGGAATACTTCATTTGTCATTGAATTGCTAAGCTTTCCGTTCTATGGACATCTTTTTGGAAAGGTTGTTCGACATATTCCAAGGTTGACAACGAAAAGATGTGCTGACTGGGCATGTCGAGTTTGTCTATAACTGGTATTGCTAGTGATGGAATGATAGCTGATGATAGATTCCTGAAGGCAGCCCATGTAACTTCTGTATTAATTCGTGAACGCACTTTTCTGAAATTTGGTACAATTGGATGAGCAACCATAGCGAACTTCCGGTTTTTCTGGCAGTTTTTCTGGTTTTTCTAACTGCCAGTAACTTTGTTTTTTTTTTCCTCAGAGGATACAGAGGTAAAAAAATCCTCATATGCTCAGATAGTCAGGCGGCCA